TCTTGCCCTTCTTGGCCACCTGGGCACACTGCTGGCTCATCTTCAGCCGGCTGTCCACCAACACCCCCAGGTCCTTTTCTGCCAGGCAGCTTTCCAGCCACTCTTCCCCAGGCCTGTAGCACTGCATGGGGTTGTTGTGACGCATGTGCAGGACCCAGCACTTGGCCTTGTTGAACATCATACCACTGGCCTCAGCCCATCAGTCCAGCCTGTCCAGATCCCTCTGTAGAGCCTTCCTACCCTCAAGCAGGTCAACACACTCACTTAGCATAGTGTCATATGCGAACTTACTGAGGGTGCATTCGATCCCCTCATCCAGGTCATTGATAAAGATATTAAAGAGAACTGGCCCCAGCACCAAGCGCCGGGGGATACCACTTTTGACTGGACATCAACTGGATTTAACTCCATTCACCACCACTCTCTGGGCACCTACGTAAGTACCTAGATAATATAAGTACCTAGATAATATTGAACACAAGATTTTGTTTTCCAGAGTTTTAAAACAATGGTTTAGGTGAAAGTTAACAGCAGTAAAGAAGCACAGCAAGTGTAATAGGCTTCTGGATCATTATTAGGTACTCCAGCAAATATTTATAATATATTGTCTTGTCATTCTTTTTTTTATTTGTGAAATAATATCAGGTACAAAATACAAGATGTTGAGACATAACTTAGATACCAGGATCTTGCATGGATTTTCTGAAATCAAACACATTCAAATTTGCTTTTAAAATCAGCATCAGTCGCCTGTGCTTGCTTGTTAAATACATCTTTGTTCATTTCAGCACAGGAATCTGTGCCTTTTCTGTCCCCACCACCGAAACACGATGTTCACAGGCCTCACGGCCAGGCAGACATCAAATGTCACATGTCCACAGAGCACAAGAAACACCCATACAAATACTGAAATTTCACAATACTTCCCAAGCATCTCTTTGTTATGTAGAACTGTGTGAAACTCTCTATATAGTCTTGTTAAATAAAATTAATATGGCCTTAGCTATTAGAGAACATTATAGAAATGGTTGAACATGCCACTATGATATTGTACAAATCAAGTATAGGTGAGGCAATATTGGCATCACTGAAAAGCAACAGACCACTAGATTCCAGGTTTCACCTTCAAGAAAGTCCCATTCTATTTTCATGCTTTAAAATGTAGCCTCTGAGTGCAGAAAAAAACCCAAGAGTGATAAGAAAAACAACTGAGACAGAAATCACTCTTCAATGGTGGTTTGGACTGGGAGGAAAAGAAAGTTAGCAGAGACTGACAAGCAATATATTGAAACATGGCTGAAAGACAAGTAATAGCTTAGAAAAGCCCAAGAACAGAAATGTGAGGAGGACAAAGCAAAATTCTGAATGATGAAAGGAAAAGAGGTAATAGCAAATGGACAGAAACATAGGGAAGAACTGAGTAAGGGAAGACATGAAAGAAGACAGAGAAAAACTTGTTTTTTCCATAACTGAGTTGTAACCACTACATGTCGATGTACCTTCAGAAACCAAGAGCAAGAGGGAAACATTTTTAAAATGTAAAATAATAAAATGAAGACAGATAAGACACCAAACTTGTGTGGCTATAAAGTTCAGAGTGCCTTTCACAGTTGCCTCAGCCAAACACCACTGGATCTGCCTGACATAGAGCTGCGATTCTCAGGTAACTCATACTTCTCTCATGCAGACCCTCCATTTTCTCACCTCAACACAGCTAGTTGCCAGTTACCCAGTAGAATAAAAATAGCAACCTATTTTCCATCATCAGCTGCCCCTTCCATTACAAAAAAATAATTTTATTATCTTCTTTTATGGCAGCCTATAAACAAGGAGTTTTTCTCTGCCCCATGTGCATGTTATACCAACAAAGCTGCCTGTGATCCCACAGGAGTTGATGAGAGAGGCAGGACAGAGGCTGTAAGCTGGGTGACTTCAGTCATACTGCCCTCCTTCCTAAACAGCTGGCCCCAAACTGCTTCTCCATGCCTGTCTTATAGCATAGGTGCCTGCTGCTGAACAGCTCTGCCAGGGACACCTGAGGGACCCAGGGGATGTGCGAGAGATGCACCACAGACCCACAAAAGCACATCTCTCAAGACAGTGTGCAAACACTGGAGTATCCCACACTGGTCAGTTAAACAGAGCAATCAGCATCCTTAGGTGATGGGAACACACTTCTCATTCATTTCACTTTTTTTCCCCAAAGAGATTTCTGTACTTTACCCCGGAGCTCTGAAGCACAGTAGAAGCACTATGAACAAAACCGCCACTTCTGCAGCAGGGACAAAATGAGCAGCTTGTTCTTTCCAGTCCAAGCTGCAAGTTTCATATTTCAGCTCCTCCTTCACATTCCAGGCCTGCCCAGGCTCCTCTCCAAAGATTTCGAAAATGGAGCCTCTCACAACTTCCTATCCTCTGAAATACTCAGTGCCCAAAGCAAGGGTCTTTGTTGTCTTTCTGTCGATGGTTTTGTGTACCGCCATTCTCTGCCTGCTGCAACTCAGGTTCTTTAAACCTAAAATGAAAGATTTTTATTCTTTCGAAGTCAAGGATTCGAGAGGAAGGATCATTTCCTTGGAGAAGTACAGAGGGAAAGTAAGTTACAACTTCATTATGTTTTTGTCTTGAATCTTTACTGAAAACCGGGTCTCTTTGTAGCTTAACAAAGAGTTTGCTTATGGGAATTTTCAGCAGAGATTTGTGCTAAATTCCTGTTCTTCAAACAGTAAGCTGGAGAGAAACTTATTTTATCTAGGCCTGCTCCAGGAATTAAGTATCAGATCTAATAAATCAAGAAAAATTAGGTTTCGTATTCTTTATTATAAATCAATACAGCCTAACAATACAATTTGTGCATTTTAATCTTAGTTAAGAATGGTAGTATGTTGTGTTAAGTTCTGGAAGTTGATCTAGTAAATATGATTTTAGTGCCTGTTCTAAGTATCTGCTTTTTTACATGCTCATATTTAACCAAAGCTGTAAGTTTACATTTGTCCATTTATTGGATTTTTAAAACAGGCTGCCTGAAAGTAAATGTCTTAAGCTGCTATCATCCTTATCTGTTTAATTAAATTATGATCAGACAGATGAAATTTAGCCTTCAGGCAGGAATGACTGTAGTAGCGGGAGATGCCATTTTAAGACTTAATTATAATCCCTACACCATCTCTCTCTCTCTTTTTTTTTTTTTTTAACTATCATAACTTTATTTCTCTGAAGGCAACTTTGGTTGTAAACGTGGCCAGTTACTGCCAACACACAGACAAAAATTACATCGCACTGCAAGAACTACACAGAGAATTTGGTCCCTCCCACTTCACTGTGCTGGCTTTTCCCTGCAATCAGTTCGGAGAATCAGAGCCTAGTTCAAGCCAGGAAATAGAATCTTTTGCCAGAGGAAACTATGGAGTAACCTTCCCTGTTTTCCACAAAATCAAGATCCTAGGATCAGAAGCAGAGCCTGCCTTTAAATTTCTAATAGGTAACTGTTTTTCTTGTATATATCAAGCTGCCTTTAACCATGGTATTCTCCCTAAATTCCAGTCTGAGTTTGTTTGTCAGGAAACATTGTAGTTTTCATAGTC